CACCCGCACACTGCACCCACACTCACATCCACACACCCACACCCGATCACACCCCCCCTCGACCCCCCACCTCAGGCGTCGACCCCGCCAGCAGCGCCTTGATGGCGTCAGCGTGCTCCTTCTTCTTGGGCTTGCGCTGCCCCCCCTTCCCCATCAGGTGGGCGCTGATGTACGCGCACACGCGCGCCACACGCCCCAGCAGCACCCCGTCCGCGCTGGCAGGCAGCAGGTCCGGCGGCGGCGGGCAGTCGGCCTGCGACCGCCGAAGCGTCGTCGGCAGCTCGCTGCCCGCGCCGCCGCCGCCCTCCTCTGTGCCCTCGAAATCGTAGACGAACGCGAGCCGCCGCGGCAGGAACATCTCCCGCACGGCCGCGGCGCGCTGGCGCGCCGTGGGCTGGCTGAAGAGGGCTGCGTGGAGGGCGCGGCCCTGCGGGGTCACGAACGACGCCGGCTGCTCCTTGGCACGCCCGGGGGCGGCGGCGGCGGCGGGGTCGTGCTGCTGCTGCTTCTGCTGCTTGATGCGCTCCTGAAGGGGGAGGGCGGGTGTGGGAGTTGGTGAGTTGCCGCGGGTGGGGCGTCAGACGGTCACCAGGCTGGATCCTCCGCCCATGGCGCGGCCCTGCAGCTGCAAACACGTGCTGGCCGTCAACACTCACTGGCGCCTGTGGCCCCTGCAGCCGCTCCAACACCGGCCGCGTGGGAGCCCGCCCGTTTTGCTTGCGGGGGCTGATGTCGGCCAGGTGCCTGGCCGAGGCCACCTCTCTGGCTCTCAAGCCGACCAAGGTGCGGGGTGCCTCGTAAGCAGTACACCCTGCCCCGCTTGGGCAGCAGGCCTGTGGCCCCAGCTCAAGGAGACACATCACAACAGCCGCAAAACCACGGGACCAGGACACACATACACACACGCATGCAAGCGCGTGCACACACACACACACACACAAGCGTGTGCGCACACACACTCGCCCACCTGCTGCAGCAGCGCGTAATCCAGCCCTTTGACCAGGTGCGTGTGCGCCATGTCACCCCCCAAAAACTTGGTGTCGGCGATGGACAGGCCGCCCAGCGCCTCGGGCCGGATGCCGCGCGCCGCCAGCTCAGCCTCTGCATCCTCATAGTCAGCGTTGGAGCCGTCGCGGCGCTCCTTGGCACGGTCCCTGGGGATGAGGTTTGGGGGTTGAGTCATGCGGGCTTTTAACCTTGCTGAAGTGCCGAGCGGATGAGGCGTGGCGGGAGGCGGTCGGGGGCGGCGGTGAGAAAGTGCGGGTGGGGGGCAGCCGGG